AGGGCACGTAGGTGCTGAGTCCATGCAGGCATGGACAAACAAGGAAGCCCTGGGGTGTCTCCCCACCATGTCACAGCGGGTCAGTGGCAGAGCAGGGCTTCCGCCCAGGTCTCCAGTCCAGGGCCCTTTTCGTTCTGGGATTTGATCTTGAATTTTCAAGGATCAGAAATTGAAAACCCTGAAGACAGTTCCTGGGCTTATGTATTATGAAGTAAAACATAATAAACATATAGAAGCATTCCTGAGTTTTGCAAACCTTCATTAATCTAGACGATATGCTGGGAGACTGTGGAGATAGCATGGCCAGATAGGCACGGACCTTCCTATTTTTTGTTAAACCTGAGACTGAATTCTGCTAGACTTGTGTCCTTTTGATTCTAACTAAAGCCAAATGCATGCTGTTTTAGAATGTTAGTTTATTTATTATGTGTTCCCCAAAAATGAAGAAGAAGAAATACCTAAGTGAAGAAGAAAAGTAGGGTCAAGTAGAGGCCCGGGATCTACCAGATATTAAAGCACATGACAAAGCTTCTCAAGAAAGGAAGAAAGAAGGGGAGGGAGAAAGGGGAAGAGGGAAGAAATAATTTAAATAGTGACATCACAGACTTTCTTTGGAATTTCTAGAAAGTTCTCAGGTAAAAGATGCATCAGTTTATGAAGCTTAAAAATAACATTTAAAAGGAACTCAGTAAGAGTTCTTAGGGAGCAGTTGGGATGTAATTTTCTCTTGTCTTTTTTTGGTTTGAGTTAATAACTCTTTAGTAGGAGGACCATTATAATTCCATTGATGGCAGGAATAAGGCACTGTATACTGCAGTAAGGAGATACACAAACTCTAAAAGTAATTTTGATGATTTTTTTTCTTATTTGTAAAAAATCTTTGTTCGTGTTACGTAAGCTATTATACCCAGAGGGAAAAGATTTTAATAAAATGGAGCTCTTACTCATTTCCACTAAATAACCTCCTAGGAATGACAGAGTTCCAGCTGGAAATGTTGAAGTGGTTAGAGAAATGTATTTGTTAGACAAAGAAACATCAGCCTTTATAGTTCTATTATTGGGGCTCTCTAACGTCAGCGAGCACAGTGCATCGATTCCATTTTTGGAGCTGAGTCACAGGCCTGATGGAGCTTCAAAGGAAGGAGACAGACCCTGCCCTGGAAAAATTTACTGCTTGGTTCTGCTTGGCTAAGAACATTGCCCTGAAACATCGCAAGTCCTTATTATATAGCAGAACAAAAGTGCTTATTTTTTTGTGTGTCTAATGAGATAAAAATTTGATTGCGTAAAGACATATATTGGACAAGACAACATCTTGGAGAGTGAACAAGGTCAGTGGATGACCTAGGCATACTGACCAGGGCAGGGCCAGACACACAGTGGTAGCGTGAGTGTGGTCCTCCATGGGCCATTCAGCAGGTGGAAGGATAATATCTGTGAGGGTCACATGCTGGGCCTGCTGGAATAAAGACTGACAAGGGGCAGGCCACCAGACAGCCTGAAGAGCAATAGTCCCCAAAGTGGACTTCAGGGGCCCTGAAGAGTGGCTGTTACTAGGACATGGGCTTTCTACAGCCAATGGACGTGTACATCATTCAGGTATGTTTTGGCATAGAATTGACAACTTTCACTTGCAACTTTTCCCCAGGGAAAGCAGATGTTTGGCATTTACCACCACACCATTCCCTGGAGCTCCCTGAGACCCTGTCAGGGGATCTGCATGGGCAAATTGTCTGCATAATAATACTAAGATGTCATTTTCCATTTTTACTCTTGTTTAATGAGTGTGCAGAAGCTACGTGACATGTGATAATGCAACACACTGAATGCAGAGTAGATATGAATATCCAGCTATCTTAAGCCCAGAGATGTGCAAAAATATTTTTTTTAAATGCCACTCTTGTCACTAATTTTTTTCTTTTGGAAAATGATTATTTTTCATAAAAATATGATTTATGTTAACATATAACATATAGCTCATTATTATCTTGTGTGCTCACGTGCTAAGTCACTTCAGTTGTGTCCAACTCTTTGTTACCCTGTGGACTGTAGCCCATCAGGTTTCTCTGTCCATGGGATTCTCAAGGCAAGAATACTGGAGTGGGTTGCCTTGCCCTTCTCCAGGGGAATCTTCCCAACCCAGGGATCAAACCCACATTTCTTATGTCTCCTGCATTAGCAGGCAAGTTCTTTACCACTGAGCCACCAGGGAAGCCATTCCCTTCTCCAGGGGATCTTCCCGACCCAGGGATTGAACCCAGGTCTCCTGCATTGCAGGTGGATTCTTTACCATCTGAGCCACCAGGGAAATCCCATTATTATCTTAAAGTGAATTAATAAAGAGATTTTGTTAGTTCCTCAATTTTAATCTCAACATGGTAAATATTAATACACATAACCCATATAAGGAAAAACTCTTTGGGGTCCTCAAATTTCTTAAGGGATTTTATTTTGTGGAGTGGCTTTGGGTTCCTAACAAAATTGAGTGGAAAATAGAGAAGGATGGACAGACACTCAAATGAGTGCATTAGATTCTTGTGCTAAGAAAGAGGAGAGAATGTGGTGGAGGGGAACCCTAACTGTGTTTTGTACATCCTCCTGCCTTGTTCTGGAGTTGAATAGGCCTGTTGCTTTAAGGTATCTCTGTGAGGGCCCAAATTTAGATGCTCTGTGACCCAGACATGAGCCTGGTCCCACAGGGGTAGAGAATGTGAGTTGTCCTCCTGCTTGGGACTAGATGACACAGGGCAGGTCAGGGCAGTTGGGATAGGTTCTTCAGTCTTGGTTATCAGGTTGTGTGTGTAGATCAAGTGCTGTGCCTCTTTATCTTCATAACTAAAACTTTTGTTAAATCTCAAGAGTAAACCACGTTAAAAGGGGAACAGCCACATCTTGGTCTGCTCCCCTGCCACCCTTGAAGTTCTGTAGGAAACACATACAGAGAGAAGAAAGGTGGAACTTTGGTCTTAAACCCCAGGATATGGGGGAAAAGAAAAAATCCCCTGGTCTGCCAAGCTTGTCCAGAGAGGGAAAGCTTGATTTGCTGAAAGAGGCCAGTTGCTTTCTCTGCTCCATTCGCCCCGGCCACAGCCCAGCCTCAGACCATGGCTGCAGTGAGACAGGCCCGCGGCTGACCTGAGCAGAGCCGAGGGTTGAGTGGGGCCACTCCTGTCCCACCGATGTGGTCAGGCCACACACAGCTGCTCCCAGGCCCAGCTGGCCACATCAGCTACAGGAGACTCATGAGGGATCCAGAGAACAGGCCAAAGCAAGCAAGCCTGAAGGCCAGGTCTTCCTGTACCACAACCACACAGAAGGATGTCACTCTTGTCCATTCACCAAGGACCACCCATACTCTCACCGTTTGCAGATGCTGAGAGCATCACTCCTGGCACTGGGCCAAGGGTAGCAGCATGCCTGCAGGGCAGGCAGAGCTCTTGTCAACCTGGGGACCACAAGTGGGGGTCCCCGTGGTCCTTAAAGGTCCAGGTGTGAGGTGTCTGTGCTATTTCATAGGTAGAAGGGTCTAGAGTTTCATCAGATTTTCAAAGGTGGGGGGAGTCCTTGCTCAGAAAAGGTTAAGAATCACTGTGTTATGACTCATTTATTTTTGTAACTGGAAGTTTGTACCTCTTAATTTCCCTCCCCTATTACAAAAAAAAAAAAAAAAAAGAAAATCACCATGTTAGAGGCCAACACTGCTTATAGCTGCCCTGTTGAGGGTTTTGAAAAAAATTCCATTCAACAACATTAACTCAGCAAATAGCTGAGTTGTTCTCCACGCCTGGCTTGGTGCTGAGGGCTGGAAACGCAACAGTGAGCAAGGCCAGATGCTATCTGTTTGTCTCGGAGGATCATAGATATAAATAAAATAACCACACAAATGCATATCCAGTCTCAAATCAAGCATTGCTCTGAAGGGAAAGAACCTGGTTCTGTGATAGATATAACAGTGGGTGAATAGCATTTTGCTTTTATATATTTTTATATTTTTGGATAGGTAATATATTCAAAAATTCAGTAGGATTATATAGCAAAAATTCCACCCCTCACACATACCTTTACTCACAACCTCCAGCTATTCCTTGGAAGCTTTAAGTTGTTTTACAGATGAGTGAATTGGCCTCCTAGCAAATTAGGGGAAGAAAAGAAAGCTTACCTGAGAATATGAAACTTGAAATGAAATTTGAAACACGAATGTGAGTTAACTAATGAAGAGGACTGGAAGGGATGGGGGAAGCACAGAGGCAACCGCTTGTGCAAAGGCCCTGGGGCTAGAGACAGCATGATATCTTAGAAAGAAAGCCTGTGTGGCTGGAGTGCAGGAAGCAAGGGCAGGGGACGTCCAGGAAGCTACTGAGTGAGGAGTGTGCTCAGCGCTTTAACCTAAAAGCCCTGGGAAGCCACTGAATGATGAAGAGAGATAAACTTCCCTCACAGTTTTTTTGGGGAAAATATCACCCTGGCTGTAGTATGGAGAAGAGATTGGAAGGAAAAGCAGTTAATGGGCTTTTATTCAGCTCAGGTGAGAAACGGTGTGGCTTGGTGGTGATGATATATCTATATATTTTGCAAGAAATATATTGGCGTGCAAGGTTCTTGCTTGTTAACACAACATTTGTTTCAGTTTTCTCAACTGAGTGGAAGAAAAGTCCATAATGAGTTTATTCAGAATGTAGTTAACACTGGGATCTATTTTGTCCAGGCATGTAGCCCCACTGAAGGATAATTTAGCTCTTTGATGGACAAAGAGCTGAAAGTCTCATACAACCCTGCTAGAAGTCATTTGGTTTAGACTCCCACCCCAGCACCCCAAAGCCATCTATCTCCCTTCTGCAGGAGCCCTCCAGTGGCAGGAGGTTGTCACTGTTACACAGTCACGACAGAAGTCCCCTGTGGGTGATGTTCACCAATCAGGGAACAAATAATTAAAACACCCGATGGCTCTACTGGTTTTGGTGTTCGCACACTGAATTTTCCTTCTCTTCTGATCCCCCAGGATGGCCTATTTTGAGGAGCAAGGAGGTGTGCCCTGTGGCTTCACCCGCCAGAATTCTGGCAACTCCATTTCCTTGGACTTTGAGCCGGACGTGGAGTACCAGTTTGTGGAGCAGTTGGAAGAGCGCTACAAGTGTGCCTTCTGCCGCTCTGTGCTCCACAACCCCCACCAGACGAGCTGTGGGCACCGGTTCTGCCATCACTGCATCCTGTCCCTGAGGTGAGCCGGCGGGGCCTCCACTCCGGCCAGAAGCGGCCAGCGTGTCCCTGCAAGCGGCCATCTGTGGCCACTCAACTACGATCAGGGTTTCGGGAATTGCTGTGGTTGCCCACAGAACCACATGAGGACGGGCTCTCCCTAGGCCCTTCTCTGAGAGCCTGAGGAGTATAACCTTCATTTTCTTCCCGCTCTCCTACTGATCGTCACCTTTTCTTAAAATTCAGACCACACCCGTTTTGCACTCGAGGGCCAACCTCGGTGCACAAGCTACACGGGTAAGGACCTATCTGCCAAGAGGGTCTTTCTTGTAGGCGCTCTGACCTTCCCTTGCCTTGATTCAGGGCTGGTGTCGCATCCAGAAGTTTCCTTGCTGCCCTGGATGCTGTCAACTCCTTGGCAGCTGGAAAACCTGGGTCATGTTTTGAGGGTGAAGACCAGGTGAGACATGGAACCAGGCTCTAGGGGCCTATACAGGGGCACCACGAAAGTTATACCCTCCCGAGCTTGGAGAGGGGGTTATTGTAGCACATTCTCATTCATTCCTGGGTTCGTTCATTTGACACCTGGGTCTAAACAAAGCTCTGGTGCACAGAGGTGAAGAGTTAGAGGTTCAGTGCAAAACAGGACCCTCTAGAATCTTCTGTTCTAGTGGAGGAGACAGGTGGTAGTGCAGTATGATAGCATAGGACCACCAAGGGAACGTTGGCAGAGGACATTTGACTATGCCTGCGGACTCTCTCTTAGACTCACGTCCTGGAGGATGAATGGGACTTTCAGGACTTTCACTGAGGAGGTGCTGAAATTGGGGCACCAGAGGGCCCCTTCTGGAAAGAGGGAACAGCATGAATAAAGATGGGGCCTGGCCTGCTCGGGTCAAGTGTGGCTGGAGCAGTGGGGCTGCTCTTAGAAAGGTTGTTGAGGGTTGTGATAAAAAAAAAAAAAAAAAAGGTTGTTGAGGTCAACCCTTAACTTTGGCTTCATGTTGATTTTTCTTTCCAGAGAACTGGACGCAGTCCCACTCTGCCCTGTAGATAAGGAGGTGATCAAATCTCAGGAGGTAAGACGATCCCTGGTTTGGGATGGAGCAGCCAGTGTCCTGGGTTGAACTGAACAGAGAAGTTGGAGCAGGAGAGCAGGAGGGGGACCCTTCCTTGGAGTCCATATTCCTCTGCCGTGTGTTCAGTTGGACCCCACTCCCACCCCTATTTGAAAGAGGAGTGTTTGGGTCCTTACTGAACCCCCAGGTCTTTTTTCCCACATCCTCTTTACCCTCTTTCTATATAAGCTCCAGTTACTGTGAGTTGCTTGCAGAAATGAAACATCCTATTTCCTGGAATCCACTTTCTCATCTGTTTAGTCTCTCAAACTTTCTTTTATTAAGTCTAACGATAGCTTTATTGAGATACAATGCATATGCCATAAAATTTGCCTTTAAAGTATGCATGTTTCTGGGGTGTGTGCCTAGGAGCAGAATGACTGGGTCACATGGTAACTCTATGTTTAACATTCTGAGGAACCAGCAGGCTGTTTTCCAAAGCAGCATTCTTTCCAGCAAGGTATGAGAGTTCCTAATTTCTCTAGATCCTTGCCAAAATTTGTTGTGGACCATCTTTTTGATTATAGCCTTCCTGGTGGTTATGAAGAGACACCTCGTGGTTTTGATGCTCTAGTGTTTGATGACATGGAGCTTTATTTCATGTGCTTGGCTGACTGGATATCTTCTTTGTAGAGATTTCTATTCAAATCCTTTGCACATTTTTTAAGTGGGTTATTTGTCTTTTTAGTCAAAGGTATGTGTGCCTTCTCTTTGCTCTTATAATGTGTTTTCCATATGCCTAGCTGTACTTGTGTCTGCCTCACCCACTAGCCAGGGGTTGGCATACTACAACATGGGATTTGTTGGGACCAATCCAGCTTGCCACCTGTTTTTGTATGGCCTGTGACCTAAGAGTGGCTTTTATATTTTTAAATCATTGAAAAAATCAAAATAAGGGTACACAGGAACTCTGTACTATTTTTGCAACTTCTTGTGAGTTTATTTTAAAGTAAAAATTTATAAATCAAAAGAATAATGTTCTGTAACATGTGAAAGTCATATGAAATTCACATGTGTGCCCATAAATAACATCTTATTGGAACACAGGCATGCCCATTCACTAAAATATTACGTACAGCAGGGCTGAATAATGGCATCAGAGGACATCGCAATGTGGCCGGCAAAGCCAAAAGTAATTTACTTTCTGACCCTTTCTTGAGAAAGTTTGCCAATCCCTGGCTTGTGCTGAAAAATAAGTCAGCAGAGCTTCAATGATACCACTTGATGACTAATACAACTTTTACCCTGGGACAGGAAGGTGAACGCATCGCCCCCATCCACAGCCCCACCTCCTGACCTTTGAGCATGTGGGGTCAAGTTCACCACCAGATTTCCCCCAGCTTCAGCCTACTGCAGTAAGCATTGAATTACCTGGCTTGTATGTTTGGTGGCCTGTCAGATGTATCTGAGATGGTCTTTTCTTATATGGTGGCGAATCTGGTATTTCCATTCCAACCACTGACTGGAAGTTTCCACCCAACTTTTGAGATGTACTGAAGACCAAATTAATAATAGATTCCTTCATGTTGATCTAAAGCTTTGGAGTGTGTGAATCTATTATGTTTATCTTTTAGGTGTTTAAAGACAATTGCTGCAAAAGGGAAGTCCTCAATTTGTATGTGTTTTGCAAAAATGCTCCCAGATGTAATGCCAAGATTATTCTGGGACGATACCAGGTTGGTATTACTCATGAACAGTGTCTGCCATTTTCCAGTGTCGTGTACTGAACACATTTTTATGTGTCAGTTCCTGGCCTAAGCATGGAACCAGGTTTCGGTGGGTGGCACTCGGAGAATTTTTGTCTAGCAACACAGTTGGCTACAGTGTAGCATGCCAAGGGCTAAGGTATGAAATGAATCTCACAAGAAGAGATTCATTTGGTATGGAACACATGGAATACCAATGTGTGCTAGACCTTGAATTACAGGTCAGGGTTCATTGATTCAAAAGAGAGTGGGATGTGCTGGGCAATAGAAATGGTCGAGCCAAGGACACGTCATTTTTGGAAAACTGTGAAGGATTTGGGATTCCAGGGCATGACTGCAGAAAAACATAGTTGTAAGGGGTCCCTGCCCGGAAGCATTGCAGGTGCTGGTGTGGGTGTTTCCTGGTTGCTATGGGCCCTGCTCTCTTAGAGGTTGTGATCTAAAGGGAGATGACACAGACCAGAACAGAGCTAGGATGCAGTGTGAAGGTGAAGTGTGGGTAAGAGATGCGGACAAACAAGGTATAGGGGAGGTGACGGGTTGTCAAGTTCCTTTCAGATGAAATTGCCCTCCCTCACTCTCCCATCCATCAGCAGAAAGTCGTTAAATGGGAAACAGGACATGCGGCTTTGCCAGAGCAGGCCCAGGTCAGGTTCCATCACCCCATGCATGAATGTGAGGCAGACGTCTCTAGCTTCCAGGGAACTGCGTGGAGACTGCTGCAAGTTGCCCCCCCCCCCCTGCCCCCACACCACGTTGTGGAAGGTATTTCTAGTGATTCAGTCCTTTCCCCAGCATTCCTCCAAACCCCCAGGCACTGAGCTCAGAAATGTGTAGATGATTTCCTTGTTAACCCAAGAATTTCTTTGGACGTTCAGGAAAGGTTTTTGTGTTTTCCTGAGACAGTCCCTCACCACTTGTTTTGATAGTCAGGTCCAATAGTAGGGTTTCTTGACCAACTTGGTTGTCCCTAAGCCTGAGAAGGAAATGAGGTTAGCTCTCGTGACCAGATCATCAGCTTCTGGAGGATAGCAGCTGGTTTTCTCTTCACCTGTTTCTTTCGTGTTAATATTTCCTCTTACTCCCTGTTCTCCGTCACTTGTGTGGTAAGCTGTAGGATTTCACAGGATGCAGTGTCTTGAGGAATGTTGACTGTTTTGGTGACAGCCGAGGGGTAGCATCGGTGAATTTTGGAGAAGATGTAGATTTTAGCTTTCACTTTCATTACTAGAGGCAAAGGAGAATAGCTATCATGTTTATTTACTTCCTGTAGGAAAACTATGTGCCCCTTTTTCTTCTTCCTTCAGAGGAGGGGTCAGCAAACTATTTCTCTCAGGAGCCAGAGAGTAAATATTTTAAGCTTTGCCAGCCAGTGTCTGTCGCAGCTGCCTGACTCTCCCATCTTGGAGGGAAAGCAGCCATAGCCAACATGGGAAGAAATACGGGTGTTCTCAGTTACACCTTATTTACAGAAACAAGTAGTGGGCCAGGTTAGGCCCAAGGGCTGTAGCTTGCCAGCCGTGTTTTAAAGGATCTTGTGGTGGGGAACAAGCCCACTAGAATTTTGATACCTTGTCAGCATCACAGGAACTTGAAGTGTTATCCCCAGGTCTTGTTAAGACTTGCCTGCTTATAAAAGTCTGTAACATGAACAACACTGGACCAAACGTTGTCCATGTCATCATTTTCTAATATGCTGGTTATGAATATCTCCCAACTTGACAAGGCTGACCCAAGCTTCTCCTGGGCCTGGGATTCTGATCCCTGAATTCCTCTCACTGCTTTGCTTTACTGCCTCTGGGACAGCTCCCTCTCCCTGTCCTTCCTTCCTCCAGTCCTTCCCCTTCCTTCACTTACTTAGGAGCTGGCCTTCTCTTCCCTCTCGGCCCTCTGTTTCGGCTTTTACCACCTGGGGCTTCCCTGGTGGCTCAGTGGTAAAGAAAACACCTGCCAACGCTCTGGATGCAGGTTTGATCCCTGGGTCGGGAAGATCCCCTGGCTACCCACTCCAGTATTGTTGCCTGGCATGGCTTCCCACTCCAGTATTGTTGCCTGGAGAATCCCCACAGACAGAGGAGCCTGGCGGGCTACAGTCCACAGGGTCGCAAAGAGTTGGACATGACTGAGCGACCAAGCAACAACAGCAGAGTGCAGAGATTAGGACTTGGTGCCAGGGGTGGGCATGGAAGGCGCACAAAAGAAATGGCCTTGACCGAGCTGGTAAATTAATTGGCAAAGCTAAGGAAGATGTTCAGGGACTAACCTGAGAATGTGAGCAGGTTAGTAGACGATCTAAGATAAACTCAGCATGCTGCTTTCTTCAGCCATCTTCAAAGCCCTGTCCTCCAGACCAGGCTGGCTTTTGCAGCCTCCATGCAGACGGCCCTCTGCATGACCCGTCCTCAGCAGAGGCAGCAGGTGGCCTCTGCAGGGAGCTGTCCTTCCCCCACCAACCCTCCCAGCTGGTCCTCCTGCTGCCCCCGGGTCCTCCCCACCTCTGCCCTCCCCAGGCCTTGCAGCCGGCTCCCCTTACCAGTGCCCTGCTCCGCGTGTCCCACTGGCCTGTTGTTACCTGTTGCAGGACCACCTTCAGCACTGCCTGTTCCAGCCTGTGCAGTGCTCTAATGAAAACTGTCAGGAGCCAGTCCTTCGCAAAGATCTGAAAGAGCATCTGAGCGCATTCTGCCAGTTTCGAGAGGAAAAATGCATTTATTGCAAAAAGGATGTGGTAGTCATCAATCTACAGGTAAAAAAAAAAATCTTTATGGGACTAAATTCTGTCTGAGTGGTCACAGTAAATCACATGGGATACCAGAAGCACTTCTCTAAATTTATTTTTGTGCAGAAAGAGGTCTAAAGAATAACTTATCCGAGGAGTCTATAAAAAGCTGAAAACCTTCTTGGTAGAACTCTTTTCATGTGTTGTTGGCAAAAATGCTGTTTGATCACCTGCTGAGTGTGAGTGGGCCAGGAGTGACACTCGGAGCTGAGTCACAAGGAGGGGACCACAGTCTCTGACCTCAGGATGCTCTGACAATTGGCGAGGCAGGATGCAGGCGTAAGAAGAAAGCGTGGGTACCTTTTACATGTGCCAAAGGAGCCATGCTAGTGACGTGCATTGTCTGTCTTCTGTCAGCCCCATGACCTCTGACCTTTTTTGGAATAATTGGAAAATTGAATTCATTTATACTGAGAAAACAGCCATCTGGAAACTTTTTGGCACTAGGCTGTACCTTCTTGTAGAGGGTGAGCCACATTGCATAGATCCCCAAGGGGTCATATGTACACACACTCTGAGGACATACAGGGAGCCTTTGGAAGCCAGGCTGGCTTTAGTTCAGCACCCTTTCATTGTTTCAGAATCACGAGGAAAACTTGTGCCCTGAGTACCCAGTATCTTGTCCCAACAAGTGTTTGCAGATCATTCCAAGAACTGAGGTAAGTGTAAATAATTCTCTCAGTGATTTTATGTAAGATAAAGTTTCAGTAATCACTGCAGTGTGTTTGATAAAATCCCATAGGTGGGGGCCTGAGGCTTACCTTATCCTCATGATGGCCATGGTTTTGTCTTCCCTCACCTTCTCCCTGAGAATTCTTCTCCCTGAGGATTCTCTGTTTCCATGTTAGCTCTCCTGGCCCCAGCTTCAGCTTGGCGTTTTTTCCTTATGTTTCCTGTCTTCTCCCCAAGCCACCCTTGGCTCCCTGCCGACTGCAGTTATACCAGGTAGCTGGAGGGTCAGGGTGCATTTCTACATCCTGAGACTGTCTATTTCACAGGTGGATGAACACCTGGCCGTGTGTCCTGAAGCTGAACAAGACTGTCCTTTTAAGCACTATGGCTGTACTGTAAAGGTATGGAGGAATTGTGTCTGTCTACCTTCTGCTGTATCATTCATTTGTCGAGTTCATTTTACTCTTTGATTCCATTCAGGGTGCAGGACATTCAGTGTCTGTGAAACTGTAAGAATGGCAATAACTAGTGGTTACCAGTGAGGAGAGGGAAGATGGGAGTAGGGAATTAAGAGATACAAACTACTATGTATAAAATAAATAAGCTACAAGTATATATATAATGCACAAAGGGAATATAACCAATATTTTATAATAACTACATATGGAATAGAGAAAAAAAGACTGACAATTATATTAGGGTTCTCCAAAGAAACAGAACATTTAATTTATATATATATATATACATAAAATTTATAATACCTACTTTTTGAAGTTTGCTTATATCTATAAAAATAAAAATGTGACCTGACACATTGACCTTGCAGTTCTACTGCTAGGAATTTATTTCACAGATATCCTTTCATAAGTATGCAAAGATCACACACCTACACAAACACACATACACATAAATATATCTTGTCCGTGGGTGATAGATTCCAAGAGCCTCAGTGGATGTCTGAAACCATGCTGCCTGCCTAGTTGCTTCAGTCGTGTCCGACTCTGTGCAACCCCATAGACGGCAGCTCACCAGGCTCCGCCATCCTGGGGATTCTCCAGGCAAGAACACTGGAGTGGGTTGCCATTTCCTTCTCCAGTGCATGAAAGTGAAAAGTGAAAGTGAAGTCGCTTAGTTGTGTCCAACTCTTCGCTTTCCCCTGGACTACAGCCTACCAGGCTCCTCCGTCCATGGGATTTTCCAGGCAAGAGTACTGGAGTGGGTTGCCATTGTTAGTACCAAACCCTATATCCCCTATAACATACATAAGATAAAGTTACACATTTATAAATTAGGCACAGCAAGAGGATATCTGAATTGCCAGCATCATTTGGGACCATTATTGAATAAATAAGGGTTACTTGACCACAGCACTTAACTGCAACAGTTAATCTGATAACAGAGAGGGCTAAGTGACTAATGGGTGGGTAGTATGTATAGTTTGGATACCTGGACAATGGGATCACTCACCTCTGGGCAGGACAGAGCAGGAAGAAACAAGATTGCATCATGCTACTCAGAACAGTTCACAATTTAAAGTATTAATTATTTTCTAAAATTGTCTACTTAATATTTTTGGACCATAATTAACCATGGGTAACTGAAACCACAACTATCAAAACTCTGACTAAGCTGGGACTACTGTATTTAGCAAAAAAATCCACAACAGTGAAATATATATATATATATATATATATATATATAGAGAGAGAGAGAGAGAGAGAGAGAGAGAGAGAGAGTCATATTTTGGAGTACTAGGCATCTGATAAAAAGCATGAGGTATATATTTTAAAAATTACTTACACTATGACCTCACTGTGTTGAAAATCTATATATATCTTCGCTGACTCTGGTGAGTGAGACTAGGGAATTGGATGTGGAGAAAGAGAAAAGGGGACTTCTACTTTTCTTTCTACATCTTCCTAAATGTTGTTTGACATAAGCATGCCATAGCATGCTCAGTCACTTCAGCCCTGTCCAACTCTTTGTGACCCCATGGACTGTATCTCGCCAGACTCCTCTGTCCATGGGATTCTCCAGGCAAGAATACTGGAGTGGGTTGCCGTGTCCTCCTCTAGGGGATCTTCCCAACCCAGGGAACAAACACACGACTCCTGTGTCTCCTGCATTGCAGGTGGATTCTTTACCACAGAGCCACTGGAGGAGCCCTTGACCCAAGCATATGTTTCTCTTATTAAAAAAAAAAAACAAAACTATTTTAAACATGTTTTTAAAAAATCAGTGAAGAGTCCATAAATGTGTCACATATCAAACCGTGGTTGTCTTGGCTGCAGAAAGGATGGGGTTTACCTTCCTCTCACATGAAACCCAGAATTGCTTTCCAGTTCTGAAAGGAATCTTCTTTACATTTAGGCTCAAGCTCCCGTTTGGATTGTATTCGAGGACTTACCTTAGTACCAGAGCTGGGGATGGCTGGGGTAGTTGTGCTCTGGAAGAGGGCCAAACCTAAACTGAAATAAAATTGATTATAAATGTTTACTTAGAGTCTATGGGTCACCCATACCATTTGCTTTTATTAGTAATAGAGGCAATCTGCAATGAAATTTTAAGGGAAATCAGGGAAAAAGTAACCATTTGTTCTTGCAAACGTATAATTTTTTTTTGAGGGCAACAAAATTTTCATGGGCTGAAACTACAGTTCAGTTCACCTTCTGCCTGTAATAGCAAGTGGTAGCAAGATAAAAAGTGGTAGAGAAGTTTGCTCAGTAGGCTGATCAGGAGGTAACCCACCAAGGAGATAGGTTTTATATGGGAATAGTTGAGAGGTGATAATAACTACACTTAGCCCTCAATCATATACTCCGAGAGTAAGGAAAGGCTTCCCAGGTGGCACTAGTGGTGATGAATCTGCCTGCCAGCACAGGAGATACAAGGACTTGGGTTCAATTCCTGGGGTGGGAAGATCCCTGGATGAGGAACTGGCAACCCACTCCAGTATTCTTGCCTGGAGAATTCCATGGACAGAGGAGCCTGGCAGGCTACAGTCCATGGGGTTGCAAAGAATCAGATGCAGCTGAACGTCTGAGCACAGCACAGGGTGAGGAAGGAAAGCAGCATTAAGAATTTTGACAGTGACCTGACTCTCCATGTCTCCTGGGTACCAAAAAAATCGTAAAGATGTAAAAGGAGCCTGGGAGAGATCCTTTTCCCTGAAACCCACCTTGAGACAAGTCAGCAAAGTTGTTAAAGTTCTGCTTTTGCAGAATATGCTGCCACCACCCTCATGTTGGAAGCCGTTCAACAACCTGACTCATGTTTCTCTTCATCTTAAAGGATAAACGGGGGAACCTTCAGGAACATGAGCGTTCGGCCTTACGGGACCACATGCTTCTGGTTTTAGAAAAGAACTTCCAACTAGAGGAGCAGGTAAACATTCAAGGGTTCAAATATAAAGGGAGGCAACAGAATCACTGGGATTTGTACTTGTTGGCATTTTTATAGCCTTCTCTGTTTTAAGTGGAAGTCTACTGGAGGTAGATGTTTTTCTACTAAGTGACCAGACAGACTTCTAGGATTAGAGCACATTAAACTGGAAAGTGCCTTTGAGATCTTTGGGTCTAGCTTCCTCAACCAACAGATGAAATAACTAAGTTCAAAGAAATTTTGATGTGTTTATGACTTCAAGGGGCAGAATTCAATCTCAAACCCATGTCCCCTGATTGCCAGTCCAGTGTTCCTCAGGGTACACCACCCTGCCTCTCTGCAGCCTATCCACACACCTCTTGGTTATTCCCTAGTAGGAACCTAGTAGGTGTTTGGCGTTTTTAAATGAAATCAGTATTACCTTGAAACAGTGTTTGACTATCTGTTCTGGGCACTGTGGGTATGATACATTTTGTAATAAGTCTTAACTTACTAACTTTGCAACCTAATCAATGCATATGTACATATTTATTTCACTGAACTGTGATTATCAAGTGAAATTATGTGTGCAAATGGCAGCCGTAGTCCCTGATATATTCATAGTGGACAGCATTCAATGCTGATTCTATTGAGTAATTATTCCAACAGTTCATCATTTTGTTAGGGCATCACAGAGGATCAGACTTTTAAAACCCTGGTAGGGAAGGAAACCATCCATCTGCATAGAGGGCGCTGAGTTTTACTGCTACAGATTATTTTATGTTGTCTGATTCCATGTTAAAGTAGGTATGTGAGTTTCAGGGTCAGATGGTGAAGAAAATAGAAAGCCTGATTAAACTGTAACTTTGGTAGAAGGCATGCTGCCTCCAGACGTTCTCAAGTTCTTTCTGTAACAGTTGCCTCCTTCAGCTATCCATTCATTCAACAAACATGTGCCATGTGTCAGGTACAAGGCTAGTAGCTGTGGACACGGGGTCAGGGAGACCCAGCACCTACCCTTGAAGAGCTCACTAAAATGTAGATGTATAAGACACTGTCCCCATAGCAAGTGGGATGGGGGTGCCCTGTGTTGGGGTACAGAGGCTGTAGCAGGTTGCCCTGTGGGAGTGCTTAAGGCTTTTCAAGGCTTTTCCAAGCTGTACTGTCTTGAAGAAAGAGAAGGTCTGTCAGTTAAAATGTTGTGGAAAGAGGATAGTCCAGAAGGGGAAAGTTTATGCTTCGTAGTATGAAGTATGATTTGGAGGCAAACAAGGCTAAAGACAGTGGGGAATGTTCATTCATTCATTCAATAAATATTTATCAAGCACCTATTGGTGCCAGGCGCCAAACCAGTTGCTGGAGTTCCAGTGGACTACAGGTCCCATGCCAGTCCAGCTCCCGTAGAGCTTCTCTTCAGGTGTGTGTGTGTGAGGAACAGTGTATGACAGGCTGAGAAGCTATCATAGCAGCCCAGCTGAGAAACAGTCCAGGCTGCAACAAGGTACAGTGAGAAGTGGTTGTAAGAGTTGTTTTGTTTTGTCAGGAGTTAAAGTTGGCAGGTACTGCTGATAGAATGGATGCAGGGGTAAGAGAAGGTTGTCTAGGATCACTCAGAGGTTTTTAGTTATTTCCCTCAAAGGGATTACAAACTCTGAGAGGTGGTGTGTTTTGCCTACCACTTGCGAGCAGTATAGTAGGCACGTTAAAGTCTCTGCCTCTGTTTCCTTATCTATAAAATGAGGCTGACCATCGTATCCAACCCATGGGGTTCTTTGAGGATTAAAAGAGCTAATGAATATGATAATTTGATGGTAAATTGCTGCTATTACTGTTGACACTGTGCATACAGCATCTAATGTGGTATGGTAATCTGAATTCTGTGGTTGTTTAGTAGTAGCAGTAGTTAGTTGCTCAGTCATGTCCAACTCTTTGCAACCCATGGACTGAAGTTCATCAGGCTCCCCTGTCCGTGGGATTCTCCAGGCAAGAATACTGGAGTGGGTTGCCATTTCCTTCTCTGGAGGATCTTCCCGACACAGGGATCTAACCCAGGTCTCCTTCATTGCAGGCAGATTCTTTACCATTTGAGCTACAGGGAGTCCTGGTTGTTTAGTAAGTGCATGCTAAATGAAAGACAAGAACCAGTTCAGCAAATTTAGTCAAGTGATGTCACTAGCATGAGATGATCCATCAAAGTGGGTTACACACAGCAAAGGCTGGCAAGAAATCTGTGGATCTCTCTCTCTTTTTTTGAAGTAACTTCAAACATTTTCTTAGAATTATATAGTAAATATGTGTATATATTTTTCCTTTAAATACTTTCTTACCTGTAGTATTTTCCTAGAACTATATTCAAATTATTTTAACTTGGCTGCATGCATTTAAGTGACTTCATTCATATTCCTGTTATTAGATTTCTGACTTATATAAGAGCCTAGAACAAAAAGAAATAAAAATCCAGCAGCTAGCGGAAACGGTAAAGAAATTCGAAAAGGAGTTCAAGCAATTTGCGCAGTTGTTTGGCAAAAATGGAAGCTTCCTGTCAAATATGCAGGTGAGAAATGGCCTTTCTATTCATAACCAAGATTTAACCTCACAGCCAGTTAGTTTTTTAACTAATTGTTTAAATGGAAAAACTAATTTTTTAAACGGAGATAATTTCAAATGTGTAAAACTAAGATAGTACAAAGAACACCTGTGTATTCTGCACCCAGATTCACTCGTTGACAGTGTTCTGTCCCATTTGCTTCCTTCATCCTGTCTCCCCCTCCTCATCCCAACCCTGTCCTTAGCTCCCATCCTGTCCCTGTGTCTCTCTTTGTGGGTGTTCTTTCTGAACCCTTTGAGAGTAAGCCATCTATTATAGCCCTTTACCCCTGCATACTTCACACTGTATTTCCTAAGAATAGAGATCTTTTACATAACCCAGTACACTTAGCCATGTCAGTACACATTTACACTGGTACAGTACTTTTACACAATTTATGGCAATGAGGGTTGTCATTATTGACCGAGTATTAGTCACCTGATTTCAGATTTATTGAGAGCAGCTGTAGTTCTGAATTTTGCAGTCAACAAAGTGAAACTATTAATTCCTTTGGGAAGAAAATGCTTTAAACATCACTAAAATCGAGCAAAAATTACTTTGTAAATCATGAATGTTAAATAACCATAAACAGAGATTTCTAAAGAATAATGTCTTTATTGTGATTATAAAATTTATGGTGCAAAATATTTCATAATGTGATATGGGCAGTCTTTTTGAGGATTATACCAGAAAATGTAGGCCATATCATTTCCATACTTTGTCCACATACTGTATGGATGTGTGTGTGTGTGGAAATCCATCAATTATCATTATCTTAATTCTGACCTTTTTCTAACACAAAAACCAGTCAAGAGTGAAGGCGCCGAGGGCAGGATCCCTTCATCTAAAGAGAGCAACCAAATGTTCAGGCCTTATCTTGGGGCGCTGACTACCACCTGCAGTGCTCAGACCAGAACAGATGGGCCTTCTTCCAGCACATTCTCTGCCCTCTCGCAGAGTGGGAGTGAATCAGAAGCATTGCAATGGAGGAGGAAGTGATGAGGCAAGAGGACAGACAGGGAGAACATAAATATAAAGATAGGTTAAAGAACCAAGAGGAGAAAATCCAAGGGAGAAGTAAGACTCAGATGAAGAACAGTTCAAAGATTTGAAACAGGAGCCGAGATACTGCAGAGGGGGAGGAAGGTATTAGGTGATTCATCTCTTGGACCTCCTCTCTCTTCTGAACCGTGCATTTTTTCACTGCATTAATTGGTTAATTCAAGGTGAAATATTTGAGTTAAAAATGTGATCTCAACGCATCATTCACGTTTTTTTGACATGATGATCCATTTTGTACTGAAAGGTTCTTGCCAGTCACATTGACAAGTCTGCTTGGCTAGAAGTTCAAGTGCGTCAGTTATTACAAATGGCTAACCAGCAACAAAGTAAATTTGATCTGAGGCCTTTGGTAGAAGCAATTGATACAGTGAAACAGAAAATCACCCTGCTAGAAACCAATGACCAAAGACTAGGTATGTCTAATGTTTTCTGCTTCTCTTCGGGTGCTTCCTGACTTCTGCATGTGTTCACGAAAACAAGCAAATAGGCCAATGGAAAGGCACAGCGATCAGGGCCAACGGTGCTGAGTCTGGTATTTGTGAAACAACAACATGAGGTTCTGGCCACTCAGACAAAATTGATGAAGGGCCCTGAGTGGAAACTGGAACAAGGACAGGGTGGAGATGGGCCAGGAAATTCCAAGAACAGGGAATGATGGTTTTTTAAGGAGAGTAGACAATGAGAGGCTAGGGGAAAGATGTGGTGGGGAACACTGTTTCAAGTATAGAGAAGCAGAGACAAGTTTGGCTGTTTAAAAGCATCCCAGTTAGAATGTAGTGGGGCTTACCACGCAAAAGTCTGCTAGACACGTGCTGAGAGGGTCTTCTCTACACTTCAGGGAGCTTAAGTTCAAGAGGACGCTTTGGGGTTTTCTTGGGGCCAGTCTTTCCAAGACATGAGAATCACGGAGTCAGTATTATTAATATGGATGGCACATTGGTGGACATTGAATTCAGTTCATCTTGGGGAAGTCAGAATTCTATTGGTTCTCTTTGGATAACCAAATTTCACTTTGGGCATATTTGAAAGACAGCTTTAAGGCCTTCAGAATCTTTTTTTCTTTGCAGTTGTTTTGGAAGGGGAGACTAACAAACATGATGCCCACATTAATATTCATAAAGCACAGCTGAATAAAAACGAAGAGCGATTTAAGCTGCTGGAAAGTGCCTGCTATAACGGAAAGCTCATCTGGAAGGTGACAGACTACAAGCTGAAGAAGAAGGAGGCGCTGGATGGACACACAGTGTCCATCTTCAGCCAGCCCTTCTACACCAGCCGATGCGGCTACCGCCTCTGCGCTAGAGCCTACCTGAACGGGGACGGGTCTGGGAAGGGCACGCACCTGTCCTTGTACTTCGTGGTGATGCGAGGGGAGTTTGACTCGCTGCTGCAGTGGCCGTTCCGGCAGAGGGTGACCCTGATGCTTCTGGACCAGAGTGGCAAAAAGAACCACATTATGGAGACCTTCAAGGCTGATCCCAACAGCAGCAGCTTTAAGAGACCCGATGGGGAGATGAACATCGCCTCTGGCTGTCCTCGCTTTGTGGCTCATTCCACTTTGGAGAATGCCAAGAACACCTACATTAAAGATGACACCCTCTTCTTGAAAGTGGCTGTGGACTTAAGTGACCTAGAGGATCTCTAGTCATTGCTTCCGGGGGATAAAAGGACTCCTTGAATCCAGAACCTTTGGTTAATGTAGTGACTGGATCTGGGCTCAGTACACATTTGTACTTGGCTTTTTGTCCTTAACGTGTGAAGTCATTTTAAGGTTTCTCAAGTACTATCTTCTTTTTATATTTTATTGTCCCAGTTTGAAACTTAAAATACTCAGACTATCTTCTCATTATTTATATTTTTGTATCTCTTGAAGACGTTAATTTTCTTAACGTAAGGACTGCAGCATACCTCTTTAACTGGTGCTTAGTGTGGGTCTCAGGGTCTCAGCCTTCTATAATATTAAATGTCTTGGAGGACACAGATGTATTAATAGAACTTCCAGTCGAAAGTGCTTTGGTGTTTTTATATTTGGCCTATGGATTCTAGAACTGACCTTAAGCCTACAAAAGCTATCTTTTAGGGTAGGCTATTTCGGTTAAGTAGATGAGTTGTTGTTGTTATTTAGTCATTATGTCATGTCCGCCTTTTTGCGACCCCATGGACTACAGCCCACTGGGCTCCTCTGTTTGTGGAATTCTCCAGGCAAAAATACTGGAGTGGGTTGCCGTTTCCTCCTCCAGGGGATCTTCCCAACCCAGGGATTGAACCTGTGTCTCCTGCTTGGCAGGCATATTTTTTCACCTGTGCCACCAGGGAAGCCCAAGTAGATAGGCAGTGTACTTCGAAGTCAGTATACCCAGTTTGGATCAAACTTTTTTGGGTTAAATACTGTATTGTGGAAGCTACTACACTTTTAATATTTTCATGAAATTTACCAGTAGTCAGCAAGAACAGCTTTGCAAGGCTGCATAAGAACTTGTGAATAGAGTAAGTATTTTCATTCTTCCTGCTGAAGTAAAGCAGAAAACACTGCATAGTATATATATACATATAATGATTTATAGCCATCCAGCTAAAGTTCGTATCTTATTAGATCCAACCATATGAAAAAACTATTTATAAACAAAATGATCAAATATTAACAAGTCATAAGATTCAACTTAATAAATAATATATACATACATGTTTAAACATAGCTTAGAAGTATTTTGGTAGTTATAGTAAATTAATATGAGGACGGGCAGAATTTAGTATATGATGGAGAAAGTGTCATATGGATAAGAGGAATTAAAACCTAGGGAGAACACCATTACAATTTCCTCTGGGTATGAGAATTCCCATCTGAAATTGATGGCTAAGAAGAGTGTCTCTTTCTTTTGAGTAGAATTTTGAGTTCATAAATTGGTATGAAAATTGGCATTTATGTAAACTTATGATGTTTTTTGTCAAAGTCCTGAGTACTTTGTGAAGAACGGAGAGATCATGTTCCTCTGTATCTATCTGTATGGGTATGAAAGTGTAAATACAAGTCTATACAAAGTCCTTCTGACTCTTGACATGGTGGTAGTAGTTTAGTCGTGTCCGACTCTTGCAGCCCCATAGACTGGAGTCTGCCAGGCTCCTCTGTCCATGGGATTTCCCAGGCAAAAAATACTGGAGTGGCTTGCCATTTCCTTTTTCAGGGGATATTCCCCACCCAGGGATCAAATCAGCATCTCCTGCATTGGCAGGCAGATTCTTTAGCGACCGAGCCACCAAGGAAGCCCTGACTCTTGATGAGCCTGCAGTGAAGTCGCTCAGTCATGCCTGACCTTCGCAACCACATGGACCGTAGCCTGCCAGGCTCCCATCCATGGGACTTTCTAGGCAAGAATACTGGAGTGGGTTGCCATTCCCTTCTTCAGGGGATCTTCCCAAACCAGGGATCGATCCTAGGTCTCCCGCACTGCAGGCAGACTCTTTACCACCTGAGCAAGCAGGGAAGCCTGGACTCTTGATAAGCCTGAGCTTAACCCAAAACTACCCAGTTTTCCTGGGCCCTCACCCTCGTTATGCCACTGAGCACTGCCCACACTAGGCTGGCTCCCTTGAGCATGTACGGGCAAGCAGCTCACTCAGCGATGACCACATACCTCACAACTCTTGATCGGTTGACCTCACAGGAGCAGCATGATTTATACCAGTGGCTTCTGGAATAGTTGGAACTTTCTTCCTCTCTCCTGTGAAATTTTCAAGATACCAAAGACTCATACTACACAAATCTTCCCAAAGGGTTAAATTCAAAGACCTGAGTTCACAGAAGAAATCTGGTAGAGAACCACCTTGCAGGTGCTAGTAAACTCGGGTGCAGCTGCTGGTCAGCCTGTCCCCTCAGGCAAAGTCAGCAAGTCTTTCTCTAGACTGCACAGCTGGATGCTGGTGGTTCTGTGCGCTGGTCTTCAATGTTTCTCATCAGGTCCAAAGTCATCCTTGTGTTCTGAGGAAGGGGAGAGCACAGTGTTGTGACTAGTTTTAAGCCTTTGATGTGAAAAACATTTTAAAGTGAATTTATCAAAACACTGATTTTGTGTTTTAACCACCTTCTCTACATAAAAAGTATAAGTTATGGCATGGTTTGCTTACAAGCTCAGAGTCCCTTCATCATTGAAACAGTGAACACAGAACAAGGTATTCTATAATAAAAAGTACTTTTTTCTCACAAAATAAGAGTTGTGAATTTTGTCGTAAGGAAATCGATCCACAGAAATTATGTTTCCATTTTTATGATCTGAACAGTTATTTTTATTCTGTAAGATTTAAAATTTTATTCCACTTTGGCCTGATTCAGTTCCTGATGAAAAGAAAATGACACAGTAGGCATAAACGGGGACTTAACCTTGAGAAAGGTACGTGCAGGATTTAAGGAGGGTGAGGAGGTGGAGTACATACACGCTAATACACCTCAGCAGATCTGAATTCTGACGCTTGGTCTCCAAATGTGATGATTTCAGAGAAACAAGAAATAGTCATTCACAGCAGCCGCTCCCAGGGCACTCCACAGCATCCTTGAACTCGTCATCTCCCTGAAGACCCCTCTGTCCAAGTACCTGCTGAATATCTAAGCACAGAAGTCCCGCAGGGACCTTCAAGTACACTTCACCAACACTGAACGGGAGGTCTCACTCTCCACCACCGCTAACCCATGACTCCCTGGGTGTGCTCTCCCTCAGGGAGTGACGGCAGCACCCACGGCAGAGCTTGGACACTGTGGATTCCCCTCACTTCCCCCATCCAGTCACCCAGCCAGTGTGCCAACTGAACCTCCAAATAATGTCTTAAAACTACTTCTACCCTTCCATATCCCTTCTGTCTACTACTGCCCTATTTGCTGGCCTACAGTTTTTGATTCACACTGTTCTCGCTATATTTTCTTTTGCCTCTTTTGGATCCAGACTCACACTGACACCCAATAATCTCTAAAATGAAAATCCAAGGGTGACTCCCCACCTCACCCACCCACCGTGGCTCCATCACCCACAGGACAAGACTCCAGCCTCCCTGGCCTGGCAGGCAAGGCCCTGCATACCTGCTTCAGCCTCTCCAGCCTCACCTCATGACCATCCTGCTTTGCATTCAGCAACAGCATACTAAGCCATTTTGACATTTGTCTGTACTTGTGTTCATTTCTATCTAGAATACTCTCCTCCATCCTCACCTCCTCCACTGTCTGGTGGATTCTTGCTCTTTAGGATTCTGCTTTGGCCTCACCTCTCCAAGATGCCTTCTCAAACTAGCCCTTACTCCCTTGCACTCAACTCCTACCCTCCCCTAGGCCAGGAGCCCTTGCTCTGAGCCATATACCTCCTTGCCTATAACTCACTTCCTGTACTTTTTTTCCAGAAAACAAATGTTAATTGACTATATTTTTGTCAGATTTTACTTTAGCTGCAAATAAAACAGATGTCCTTGTCCTCATAAAACATAATCTGGAGGTCATCACAGCAGTGAACCAAAATGCTCACTGTGTGCATGTTCCCAGTTGTCCCAATAGACTTTGCCTCCTATTTCCCCCGCCTCCACTCACTGCCAGAAACATGCATCTCTCAGACCATCCTGAATATCCGTGATGCTAAATAAGAGAACAGGCAGAAAACACTTGAAGGGAGAGCCCAAGGTGAAATGTATAAAGAAAAGTGAAAGCAGCCCACTTAAGTGGGACTGGGGAGAATTAAACGCAAGAACGGTTCCTATGGGAACTGATGCTTTTATTCTTCCAAGAGACCCATGTTAAAGACTAGAATACGTGTTTATCAAAATGGATTAAAGACCAAAATATAAGGCTGGATATTATAAAATGCTCAGAGGAAAATATAGGCAGAACACTCTTTGACATAAATCATAGCAAGATCTTTTCCAATCCACCTTCTACAATAATGAAAATAAAAACAAAAATTAACAAATGGGACTTAATTAAACTTAAAAGCACTGCAAAGGAAACCATAAAACGAAAAGACAACCCTCAGAATGGGAGAAAATATTTACAAAGGAAGCACTGGCAAGTGATTAATCTCTGAAACATACAAACAGCTCATGCAGCTCAATATCAAAACAACAAACAACCCAATCAAAAAGTGGGTACAAGACCTATACAGACATTTCACCAAAGAAGACATACAGATGGCCAACAAACACATGAAAAGATGTTCAACATCACTAATTATTAGAGAAATGCAAATCAAAACTACAATGATGTATCACCTCACACCAGTCAAAATGGCCATCATCAAAAAATCTACAAACAATAAATGCTGGAGAGGATGTGGAGAAAAGGGAACCCTCCTATACTGTTGGCAGGAATATAAATTGGTTATGACCACTGTGAACAGTATGGAGATTCCTGAAAAAAACAAAAACAGAACTACCATATGACTCAGCGACCCCACTTCTAGGTGTGTATCTGGAGAAAACCATAATTCAAAAGCATGCATGCACTCCAGTGTTCATCACAGCACTATTTACAACAGCAAGGACATGGAAGCAACCCAAATGTCCATCAGCAGAGGCATGGATAAATAAGATGTGGAATATATACAATGGAATATTACTTAGCTACAAAAAGGAATGAAATAGTGCCATTTGCAGACATGTGGATGGACCTGGAAATTGTTATCCAGAGTAAAGGAAGTCAGAGAGAGAGAAACAAGTATTGTATAGTATTGCTTATATGTGGAATCTAGAAAAATGGTACTGATGAACTTGTTTGCAAAGCAGAAACAGAGTCACAGACGTAGAGAACAAACTTATGGTTACAAAGGGGGCGGGGGGATGGGACAAATGGGGAAATTGGGATTGACACATATACACGACTATGTATAAAATAACTGATGAGAACCTGGGCTTCCCTGGTGGGTCAGAGGGTAAAGAATCTGCCTACAAGAGACCTGGGTTCAATCCCTGGGTTGGAAAAATCCCCCGGAGGAGGGCATGGCATCCCACTCCAGTATTCTTGCCTGGAGAATCCCCAAGGACAGAGGAGCCTGGCGGGCTACAGTCCACGGGGTCACAGAGAGTCAGACACGACTGAGCAGCTAAGCGCAGCACGATGAGAACCTACCGTACGGCACAGCGCACTCTCCTCAGTGCGGCTCTGCGGGACCCAAAGAGGAAGGAAATCTAACAAAGAGGGGCAGAGCAGAAACGAACACCACATTGTAAAGCAACCACACTCCAACAAAATTTAAATCCATGTTTAAGTCACTTTGGCTGTTTGAGTCACACTTGCTTGAATACAGCTCCACGTGGACCTCAGACTCTGGCTCCAGGATAAGTATAGGACAATACAAGTTGTGATAAATGTCTTCAAGAAAATGACAGACCACAGTAAAGGAGTAATGGCGCTGGATGGGGAGAAGAGGTACACACTCTGGGTTGTCAGGGAAGGTAACATGACAGTCAGTGCTCAGGTGACATGCTCCCTGGATGCTCAGCGCTGTGGAACACCCTTATAAAATCGGAGCCATCTCCTGAGGAAGCTTGCCTCCTTGACCTCCTTTGCAGCACAGGAATGTGGCCCAGGTCCCAGCCATCGGGCGGTCAGGCAAAACTTCAACTTGAAAGACACAGTTGGAAAGATTCAACTTCTTTGTTTAAGAAGGTTTGCAAGACGAAGAAGAAACATGCCAGACTCTGGCTCCCCAGTGCTGAGTGGACCTGAGGCAGTTTCTGGAAGCCCGTCCTTCCTTCTGGAGGTTGTGTTTCTAGAAGCTGTGGTGTTGCTGTCGAGTGACGGCGGCCACTGTGGTGGATTTTCGCCATTACCTCTTGTGTGTCTGGGTGTCATACCCGGCTGTGCTGTACCCATACTGGCCTCCGTGGTCTTCCTGGAGCTTCTGTGGGTGACATAATGCTAATGAAGCCCCTGTCACGTTCAGAGTGGATCGTGTGGTTTGTAACTAACTCTGACTGGATCAAGCTGAGACCTGAAAGATGAGTGAGTCCTGGGGGGAGCAGGTGGGATGAGAGTTCGGGGCAGAGGGCACCAAGGAATAAGTAAAGAATTGCTTTAAGGAGCTGAGAAGAGGCCAGAGTGGTAGGAGCCCATGAGAAGAGGAAAGGATAACACCTGATGAGGTTAGAAGAGGAGGCAGGGCCCAGAATCTATGCTGAAGTCATGGTGAGGAGGTTGCGGTTTATGTGAAGTGCAGTGAAAGTTGACCTGATTTGGGCTGGGGAAGGCATAATCTGATTGACGTGTTCTAGAAAAACTGTTCTGTGCAGAGCACAGATAAGAAGGCAACGCAGAAGTCACGGGACAGGATTAAGGTTACACCATACTGCAGTTCTTTTCACAAGTCTGTGCCCTTACTAGATCACAAACTCCTTGAAGGCAAGCACCATGTCTATTTCAAGTGCATGAAAAGTGCTCAGTGTGTTACACAGAATTGTACATAAACACTAAGGCACAGAATCTTTGTAACAATCTGTTAGGCAGATATAATACCCATTTCATAGTTGAAAAAAACTGATGATTAGAGAGAGCTATGTGCTATGTACCAAGTACTGTCCTAAGAATTTTACACACCCAATGTATGTTAACATGCAAATCCTCTCAGCAATCTTATGGGGTACACGCAATTTTATCCTTGCTGACAGATGAGGCAGTGGGAACAGAGAAGTTATGTAATAAACTCTAGTTTACACAGCTAACAAATGGTAAAGCCAGGATCTGAATCCAGGCAGTCTGACTTCAGAGGCTCCACTCTTACTATGCAAGGCTGCCTCATATGGATACTGATTAACTCCACATGCTTCTAAAAATATATAAAATTAAATGAGTTAAAATATAGTTAAGAATAACCACTGGGACAAAGACTGAATGTATAACTTCAAACCCATTAAAGAAAAAGAAAAAAAAAACTGGAAAAAGAAACATCAAACCAAACACAGAAATGAACACAACAGGAAGTATGATACTTAGAAAAAACAAGTTAGAATTAAACCCAAACACATAAATAAGAACGAGTGAACTGCTACTATTAAAACAGGAAATATCTCAAACATGGGTACACATGTACATGCTTTTAAATATTCATCTAAAACAAAGCAGAACAACTAGGTATATATCCAGAGATGCTCTTGCACAAGCCCAGAAGCCACATACAAGAGTTTCCGCCAGGATTGTCTATAATAGCAAAGGACAAGGGGGAGGAAAAGCTCCCAGCTAACAAGGGATGGCATGGGTGTGGAGCATCACATGGCTGGAGGAAGGGTAAACTGGTGCTAGCACTGGAGAACAATACGGCAATTTCAAAGAAAGTTGAATTGTGCAATATCATTTCTAGACATGTACCAAAAATTCTTGCCATGTGCCCAGTGAGATGTGTACAAGTATGGCCATTAATTCATACCATAATGACATAAATCAGGAATCATTAAATTACTAGCAACAGGAGAATGGATAAATTGCTTTATAGTCCTATGATGTTCAACATTTAAGATAAAAAAACTAGAAACACATGAATCAACATGAATAATTTTCACATATATAACAAAATTTACACAGTGGTATCATTTATGTTAGGTTTAAAAAACATATGAAATAATACTATATGTTTTACATATATATAAACTTTCATGGGAATGACAGATACAACATCCTTTGGAGAGGAAGAAAGGGAGAATGAGATTGCAGAAAGGTTCCCAGGAGGCTCTAACTGAATAGGTAATATAAATCTGAAGCAAATATGGAAAAGTGCTAAAATACAGTAGTTAGGTGGCTGGTATATAAGTGTTCATTATATTATTTCCTGTAACTTTATATATGTTTGTAACATTTCACATTAAACATTACAAAGACATGAGCTTTCTACACAAGATTCTACAAAAAGAACAAAATAAACCAAAGAAATAAGATGGGAAGAACTTAAGGAAAGCACGTTAATTAAAGAGGAAAATATTTTATGATAGAGGTTATCAATAAAATAAAAAGTTGATTCAATAAACTTGACAAAGAAAAAAAGACTTAAATAAAATATGTAAGAGTGAATTAAGAATATGAGATCAAGAAATTTTAATACCATAGACAATTTTATACTGTTTGAAAATGTAGATGAAATGGGTACTTTCCTAGGGAAAAAAACGTATCCCTTAAAAAGCCACCACATCCTGATGACTTTAAACATCAGTTCTTCAAAACCTAAGACTAACAGGCTAAGACTAACCAGAATAACAAGGGAAGCCTTGAATTCCCGGAGAAATAACCCCACCTTTCTCAATGGTACGTCTCCACGTTGTACAAGTACCCTATCTGGGCAAATCTACCGAAAACTTTGCCATCTGGCGACAATCTATTACAGATTTGAAACGGAATCCCAAGCAAGTTCCGGGAAAACGTTGCCGTTTGGTGACAACCTGTGACAGAATTCGCCCCTGGTTTCAGGCTCGTGGGCAAACGGTCTGCAGTCAACCCGCGAGCAGCCCCCCGCGGAGGGCCCCGAGGCCGGAAGAGGCCCTTTGGCCCCGCCCCGCTCACGTAGTGGGCGGGGCGCTTCCGGCCGGGTGAGGCGTGCGCGCCCGAGAAGCCGCGGGTTGCACCTGGCACCGCTCGGCGCCGCCGCCCTGCCTCCTGAGCTTCCTTGCGCCGCGCCTGTGGGTCCTGCCCAGAAAGGTCGTTTCCCCCGCGCACCCCCCCGCAGTTTCCAGTACGTGACGGTGGCAGGCGGAGCTGCGGCTGGAGAGGGGCCGCAGGTTCCCCCTCCATCACCCCCCTGTTAAGTCCCTCCCTGGCGTCTGGGCCCCTCCGGGTCTGTCTGCCGCCACTCCCCGCGCTCGAGGTTTGCCCAGAAGCTGTGTCCTTTCCCATGAGCTCTTCGCTGATCTGAAACGGTCGCCAGCCTCTCGCTTGTATTCTGGAGGGTGTGTTCTTTGTACACACTTGTCTCAGCCCTTTCTCGTCCTGCTCATACACCGTGGGAATGCTCCCACCATCACTTCTACCCCTACTTGCCCCGGGAATGTGACCTTACTTTTCCTCTTCAGACTCTTCCGGCGTCTTCTAACTAAATTGGTTACCAAGGGACCAGCCCTCTCATCTCAGCGCCTCTCCTCCCCTCTAAAAAACCCCTTCCTTGTTAAATAATCTCAACAATTAACGAAAAGAATGTCTTAAGAGTCACTGATCAGTGTGTTTAACAGGCATTCTTTTTTTAATCATCGCAAGTAGGATGCGATGGAAACTGAGGAATAGGAAACTGAGGCATAGGAAAGTTAATTTGCTAGAGGTAACAGTTTGCCTGGGGTTGAGATCTGAATCCATTGTGTAGCTGGCTCCAAAGCTGTTGCACTCACCCCTTCCTCTTTTCACAAATCCTGATCGTTCTCCCTTTAGTTGCTTCTCCAGAGAATTTTTTCTGAATGTGGTCTAAAAGGCCCCTATTGATGGAAATGTGACATTTAAGAACTTTTTCAGAGCTTCTCAGGCAGACTCTTGAGTGTTCCATTTTATCAGGCATCTAGACTCTGAGCTTAGTAATATTTTGCATCCCCACCATGTGCTTGGAGAATTTTGAGCATTACTTTACTAGCGTGTGAGATGAGTGCAATTGTGCAGTAATTTGAGCATTCTTTGGCATTTCCTTTGGGATTGGAATGAAAACTGACCTTTTCCAGTCCTGTGGTCACTGCTGAGTTTTCCAAATTTGCTGATATATTGAGTGCAGCACTTTGACAGCATCATCTTTTAGGATTTGAAATAGCTCAACTGGAATTCCATCACCTCCACTAGCTTTGTTTGTAGTGATGCTTCCTAAGGCCCACTTGACTTCCCATTCCAGGATGTCTGGCTCTAGGTGAGTGATCACACCATTGTGATTAACTGGGTTGTGAAGATCTTTTTTGTACAGTTCTTCTGTGTATTCTTACCACCTTTTCTTAATATATTCTGCTTCTGTCAGGTCCATACCATTTCTGTCCTTTATTGAGCCCATCTTTTCGTGAAATGTTCCCTTGTTATCTCTAATTTTCTTAAAGAGATCTGTAGTCATTCCCATGCTATTGTTTTCCTCTATTTCTTTGCATTGATTGCTGAGAAGGGCTTTCTTATCTCTCCTTGCTATTCTTTCGAACTCTGCATTCAAATGGGTATATCTTTCCTTTTCTCCTTTGCTTTTTGCTTCTCTTCTTTTAACAGCTATTAGTAAGGCCTCCACAGACAGCCATTTTGCTTTTTTGCATTTCTTTTTCCTGGGGATGGCCTTGATCCCTCTCTCCTGTACAATGTCAAACCTCTGTCCATTGTTCATCAGGCACTCTGTCTATCAGATCTAGTCCCTTAAATCTATTTCTCACTTCCACTGTATAGTCATAAGGGATTTGATTTAGGTCATACCTGAATGGTTCAGTGTTTTTCCCCACTTTCTTCAATTTAAGTCTGAATTTGGCAATAAGGAGTTCATGATCTGAGCCACAGTCAGCTCCCGGTCTTGGTTTTGCTGACTGTATAGAGCTTCTCCATCTTTGGTTGCAAAGAATATAATCAATCTGATTTTCGTGTCGACCATCCAGTGATGTCCATGTGTAGAGTCTTCTCTTGTGTTGTTGGAAGAGGGTGTTTGCTATGACCAGTGCATTTTCTTAGCAAAACTGTACTAGCCTTTGCCCTGCTTCATTCTATAGTTCAAGGCTAAATTTGCCTGTTACTCCAAGTGTTTCCTGACTTCCTACTTTTACATTCCAGTCCCCTATAATGAAAAGGTTATCTTTTTTGGGTGTTGGTTCTAAAAGGTCTTGTAGGTCTTCATAGAACCATTCAGCTACAGCTTCTTGAGTGTTACTGGTTGGGGCATAGACTTGGATTACTGTGATATTGAGTGGTTTGCCTTGGGAATGAACAGAGATCATTTTGTCATTTTTGAGATTGCATTCAAGTACTGCATTTCGGACTCTTTTGTTGACCATGATGGCTACTCCGTTTCTTCTGAGGGATTCCGGCCCACAGTAGTAGATAAAATGGTCATCTGAGTTAAATTCACCCACTCCAGTCCATTTTAGTTCTCTGATTTCTAGGATGTCGATATTCACTCTTGCAATCTCTTGTTTGACTACTTCCAATTTGCCTTGATTCATGGACCTGACATTCCAGGTTCCTATGCAATATTGCTCTTTACGGCATTGGACCATGGTTCTATCACCAGTCACATCCACAACCGGGTGTTGTTTTTGCTTTGGCACCATCCCTTCATTCTTTCTTAAGTTATTTCTCCTCTGATCTGATGCTTTTGAACTGTGATGTTGGAGAAGACTCTTGAGAGTTCCTTGGATTGCAAGGAGATCCAACCAGTCTATCCTAAAGGAGATCAGTTCTGGGTATTCATTGGAAGGTCTGATGTTGAACCTGAAACTCCAATACTTTGGCCACCTAATGTGAAGAGCTGACTCATTTGTAAAGACCCTGGTGCTGGGTAAGATTGAGGACAGGAGGAGAAGGGGACAATGGGATGAGATGGTTGGATTGTATCACCAACTCAATGGAGATGAGTTTGGGTGGGCTCCGGGAGTTGGTGTTAGACAGGGAGGCCTGGAGTGCTGCAGCTCATGGGGTCACAGAGTCAGACATGACTGAGCGACTGAACTGACTGACCATGTGCTTTGTTATTGTTGTTCAGTTGCTAAGTCCTGTCCCACTCTCTGCAACCCTGTGAACACTTCCCTGTCCTTCACCATCGCCCAGAGTTTGCTCAAACTCACGTACATTGAGTTGGTGATGCCATCCAACCATCTCAGCCTCTGTCACCCCCTTCTCCTCCTGCCCTCAGTCTTTCCCAGCATCAGGGTCTTTTCCAGTGAGTTGGCTCTTCACATAAGGTGACCAAAATATTGGAGCTTCAGCTTCAGCATCAGTTCTTCCAATGAATATTCAGAGTTGATTTCCTTTAGGATTGACTGTTTGGATCTCCTTGCAGTCCAAGGGACTCTCAAGAGTCTTCTCCAACACTACAGTGCAAAAGCATCATTTCTTCGGTGCTCAGTCTTCTTTATGGTCCAACTTTCACATCTGTACCTAAGTACTGGAAAACCCATAGCTTTGACTATACAGACCTTTGTCGGCAAAATGATGTCTCCGCTTTTAATACACTGTCTAGATTTGTCATAGCTTTTCTTCCAAGGAGCGAGCATCTTTTAATTTCATGACTGCACTCACTGTCCGTAGTGATTTTGGAGTCCAAGAAAAGAAAACCGGCCACTGCTTCTGCTTTCTCCCCTTCTGTTTGCCATGAAGTGACGTGACCTGATGCCAGCATCTTTGTGTTTTGAATGCTGAGTTTTACAGTATGCTTCCTTAAGAACGCACTCTTGACCCAGTGTGTACTCATTGCAGCCCTCTTCCCCTTCCTCAGTGTGGCTCTCACTGTCATCACTGTCCTCAGCAAACACTTGAGCAGCTAGTTTTTCTAAGACGATAATTGCCGTTTCAGAAAACTCTTGAGGTTTAGTTTCTTATCTCAAGGAGACATATGACATTTACTCATAAGACCAAGAAAATGGTAGGTGATCAGTAACTTGGGCTTCCCTTGTGGCTCAGCTGGTAAAGAATCTGCCTGCAATGTGGGCGACCTGGGTTCGATCCCTGGGTTGGGAAGACCCCCTGGAGGAGGACACGGCAACCTGCTCCAGTATTCTTAAATGACTGGAGAATCCCCATGGACAGAGGAGCCTGGTGGGCTAGGTTAAATGAATCATCAAAGAATTAAAAGCATTTCAGATGCTGTAGTAAACACAGGGACTGTGCACCTAGTTCAGTGCTTTGCCCTTTTCAGTTCAGTCGCTCAGTCGTGTCCGACTCTTTGCGACCCCATGAATCGCAGCACGCCAGGCCTCCCTGTCCATCACCAACTCCCAGAGTTTACTCAGACTCATGCCTATCGAGTTGATGATGCCATCCAGCCATCTCATCCTCTGTCGTCCCCTTCTCCTCCTGCCCCCAATCCCTCCCAGCATCAGGGTCTTTTCAAATGAGTCAGCTCTTCGCATGAGGTGGCCAAAGTATTGGAGTTTCAGCTTCAGCATCAGTCCTTCCTATGAGCACCCAGGACTGATCTTTAGGATGGACTGGTTGGATCTCCTTGCAGTCCAAGGGACTCTCAAGAATCTTTTCCAACACCACAGTTCAAAAGCATCAATTTTTTGGCACTCAGCTTTCTTCACAGTCCAACTCTCATATCCATACATGACCACTGGAAAAACCATAGCCTTGACTAGATGGACCTTTGTTGGCAAAGTAATGTCTCTGATTTCAATATGCTATCTAGGTTGGTCATAACTTTCCTTCCAAGGAGTAAGCGTCTTTTAATTTCATGGCTGCAGTCACCATCTGCAGTGATTTTGGAGCCCCCCAAAATAAAGTCTGACACTTTTTGGGCCTCAATAAATGTGTGATAGATTAACAAACTTAAAAATGCATAGCAAATAAAAACCATCTCACTGTCTAATAAAAACCAGTCACTGTTAGCAACTTAGAATATAACGGCATTCAATTTTCCTACAATCTGACATTTCATATATTATGCAACCCTAACCACTGTTTGTTTGAAGAATTTGGTCTTTCATACTTGAGCTAAGAGCCAGCAGCAGAGCCAATAGGACATATGGCCCGCACCCAGCCAAGACCACAAAGTAGAGTGTTTGCAGACCAAGGTCTGTGGCATCAAAGAAAGCTAATGGTCAGGTTGAGGTGCCCCCCTCAGCTCAACCCTTTTAGTCCTGGGGGACTTGGGATGGGTAACAGAAGATTAAGTACCTCTTTGCCCCTCCCATTTCCTCACCCTCTTCTCAATGGACTTTGGTTATGGCCTTTGGAAGCTAGGTCTTCCCATTGGATTCTACTTGGGTATATTTAGGTAGAAAAACATTTTGCATCCTGTACTCAGATACATATTATCTTTTTTCTTAACTTAGTTTATGATTTAATTTTTAATATTTAGAGCAATAATCAGTTTGGACTTATTTTGATATATATGGAAGATAATTTTTTAAAACTTTCCCAAATGTTTACCCAAGTGTCCTGACACCATTTAATAATCAAGCCTTTCCCATTGATTTAAGATGCCCTCTTTATCTTACACTGTTTAGAGGTTTTGAATCACGAGAACAACCAATCTGTGTTTTAGAAAGAGTACTGCAAGAGTTGGCCTAAAACTCAACATCAGGAAGCTAAGATCATGGCATCCGATCCAATCACTTCATGGCAAATAGATGTGGAAACAAAGAAAACAGTGATAGACTTTATTTTTTTGGGCTCCAGAATCACTGTAGATGATGACTTCAGTCATGAAATTAAAACACTTTCTCCTTGGAAGGAAAGCTATGACCAACCTAGATGGCATATTAAGAAGCAGAGACATTACTTTGCCAACAAAGATCCACCTAGTCAAAGCTGTGGTTTTTCCAGTAGTCACGTATGGATGTGAGAACTGGACTGTAAAGAAAGCGGAGTGCCAAAGAATTGATGCTTTTGAACTTATGGTGTTGGAGAAGACTCTTGAGAGTACCTTGGACTGCAAGGAGATCCAACCAGTCTATCCTAAAGGATATCAGTCCTGAATATTTATTGGAAGGACTGATAGTGAAACTAAAACTCCTATACTTTGGCCACCTGATGTGAAGAACTGACTCACTAGAAAAGACCCTGATGCTGGAAAAGATTGAAGGCGGGAGGAGAAGGGGATGACAGAGGGTGAGATGATTGGATGGCATCACTGACTTGATGGACATGAGTTTGAGTAAGCTCCAGAAGTTGGTGTTGGTGATGAACAGGGAAGCCTGGCATGCTGCAGTCCATGGGGTCACAAAGAGTCAGTTATGACTGAGCGACTGAGCTGAACGAACTGCAAGAGAGAGTACAGCAAGAGATAGGTAAAGAATAATTGCTGTTAGAGCCCCATCGGAAGTTAATCTGAGAAACACAATGTGTTGGTCCCTTTTGGAGCACTTCTTCTGGCAGTGGGTACTGCTGCTGGGGTGGAGGAACAGTGGCGGTTCATGCAAAAAAGCTGAGCTCTATAATGTGTGGTCTGTGGGCCTCCAGGGCATCTTTAGGGGGTCTGAGAGATCAAGCATGCTTCCATAAAAATATTAAGGTTATTTTACTTTTTCACTGTGTTAACATTTGCACTGATGGTACAAAAGCAATGGTGGGTTTTTATTTACCAGCAGTTTTCTGCTGATACCTTAGCATGAATCAAGGCAGTGGCACCAAACAGTGCTAATGTGTTCTTCTCTGTCATGCACTAAAAGAAAGAGAAAGAAGGAAGGAAGGAAGAAAGAAAAGCCAGCCAGTTTCAAAACGAATGCTCTTGGTGAGGCAGTAAAGATCATTCATTTTATTAAACTCAACCCTTGAGTATTCATCTCTGTAGTATTCTGTGTGACAAAATAGGAACTGCGTACAATGTACTCCTGTCTGCTGAAGTACAATAGTTTTTCAGGGAAAAACACCATGTGATCGTTGGAGTTTTGAGCTGAAATAGCTGCTTTTTTTTTTCCACAGAACACTACTCTTACTTGAAGAAAGGACTGACAAATATGATTATGCAGACTTGAGTATTTGGCAGATGTTTTCTCTAAAATAAATGAAGTGAGCTTGTCACTTCAAGGATAACATCTGACTGTAATTGTTGCCAGTAACAAAATTTGAGTGCTCAGGAGAAAAATCAGAATTTTGGAAAACCTGTGTCCACTACTCATTTTCCTCATTTTTTTCTTACACCATGAGTTTGACAGTTTCTCCAGACTTAATGACTTTTCTGATGAGATTACTAGTGATATTAACGAATATGAACTTTTTATATCGTATAATTAACTTCTTGAAGATCTGCCTGATTCAGTAAACTAGTACTTTTCAGATAATCAATGCATGATGTTACAAAGTCACACATAGGTAAAAGAGGCGCTTAAATATTTGTGTATTTGGCTGCTCTGGGTCTTCGTTGCAGCAGGTGGGCTCTCTGCATGTTGCACGCGGGCTCCAGAGTGCATGTGCGTGGGGTCAGTAGTTGCAGCGCACGGGCTTAGTTGCTCCTTGGCACGTGGGATCTCAGTTCTTTGGCCAGAGGTTGAACCCGAGTCCCCTGCATTGCAAGGCAGATTCGTAACCACTGGACCACCAGGGAAGTCCCAAAAGAGCCATTTAAAGTACAAGACAGACTAATGGATTTTAGCATGACAGTGTGAAAATTTATATGATTTCAGATTCTGCATTGCAACTAACTCTTTTTTGGTCTCTGAATCATGGGCAACTTATTTGTTTTTTTTAACTGTGGTAAAATATGCACAACATAAAATTTGTTAACCATTATTAAGTGCATAGTTGAGTGGCATGAAGTACATTTACATTAGTTATGCAATTATCACCACTCTCTATCTCCAGAACTTTTTTATCATCTCATACTGAAACTCTGTTCCATGAAAAAATATTTCTCTAGTCCCCTCTCCCACAGGAGAGGATCTGAAGAAGCTATTAAAATATGGTTCCTTTTTCTATCTAAATGTCTGTGTGAGGATGGATTTTCTTCATATACTTCAATGAAAACAACTTATCACAGCAGAGGGAATGCAGAAGCTGGCACAGAAGTAATCTGTATTAGTTTCCGTTGTGTGTGCGCTGTGTCTCAGTGTCGTGTCTGACTCTGTGACCCCATGGGCTGTAGCCCGCCAGGCTCCTCTGTCCAGGGGATTTCCCAGGCAAGAATACTGGAGTGGGTTGCCATTTCCTCCTCCAGGGGATCTTCCCGACCCAGGGATCAAACTCACTTCTTTTGTGTCTCCTGACTGGCAGGCAGATTCTCTGGTGACCACTGAGCCACCAGAGAAATCCAACTACACTATAATTTAAAAAAAAAAGAAGAAGCAAGTAACAGTTTCTCCCTCATTCGTTTGACTCATTTGGGTCACCACTTGGTGTGCCCACCATCCCAGACATTAAGGATACATACAGACATATAAAATAAAAAATAATAGCACTCTTCTTCCTTTTTAAAACGAATAATTAAAAACATATTATTATGCTAATATGTAATGATTTCTAGTTGTTATTTTAAATGAATTAGTAAGGTATTGTATTTTTTTCATTTAGTGTCTAATAAAGTAAATGTTGATAGATATAATCCACATAAACAACAGCTCTTTGGTCTCTTTAATAGATTTTTGACAGTATAAAGTGTCCTGGGAGAACTGTTAATATAATCAATCCCAATGGCAAACAGATTATGAACACCAAATAGCTGGAATTTTCCAAATGCCTTTGGTGACCCACAGAAATACAGTTTATGTTGTGAGCCAGTAAACATATACATGTGCATATATGTATATACACAGATGCATAATCAAGGCAAAAGTTTCATGAAGTAATTCTTATTCTTGTGTGTGTGTGTGTATGTGTGTACGCTCAGTCGTGTCTGCACACTATTTTCTACTCTATTGTTTTTCTTCTAAAAGTTCCTGGTCACAATCTAACACATTGATTCCATGAACCACTCAATAGGTCAGGACCCGAAGTCTGAAAATCCTGGCTGAGCATTAGAACCACTTGAAAAACACTTAAAAATATAGATTTCCAGGGCTGATAACTATTAACATGAAGAGGAAAGGTCAAGGGAAGAGGGAGTCTTATGTTTCTCCTCCCTTGAAGCACTCCTTTGAGAACATGGCTGGGTTGCTAGTTTTCTGATTAACTGATTATGACCATCGAAGAACGCTGAGTCATGAGAGAGACATGTTCTGGGTTGTTCAGCATCAGGCAGCACCTTATCCTAGGCAGAAAAATCTCCAGGCAAAGAGAAGGCGTTACTGAAATGTCCAGGGCCGTGCTTCTGGCTGCAGCTCTGAGCTTGCTAGGCTGTGCTTGGGGGGTGGGACTGTGCTGGGAAGAAAGCAGTTTTCCAGAAATCCAGAGAAGCAGGTTCAAGTCTCTGCCACAGGGGCAGGGAGGCCTCTGCAGCTGATGAGAGAGGGCCTCAAGTTCTGGTGCAACCTTGGGAAAGCCACGAATGATCTAGACCTCTGCCTCCTTATCTGTGAAGTGGGGAGAAGGGTGCCTGCCTGGCCGTGTCGCTTGTGAGGGTCGGCGAGCTGCCGGGGCCTGGCGCACGCGGTAGGCGTTCCGAGACGGTAGGTGGTTTTCTCGCTGCTCGGGCCCGTGCCCTGCCGTGTGAAGTCAGCCGAGTCACTGAGCTCCTGGGTGTTCGCTGGACACAGCGCTGCTGCTTCGTCAAGTGCCTTAGTGTGGAGGTCAAGTGAGAAAATGGGCGGAAGGGAGGAGGTGTGATGCGGTCTTAAGGGAAGGGGCCCAAGACAGAGCCTGGGGCACAGAGCCGATGCCAAAGGGACAGACTCCTGGGCACCCAGAGGGCAGGTGAGCAGGTGCAGAGCCATACATGTGCCACCTGCCCCAGCCGGGAGCCTCTGAACACGTGGGGAGGGAGGCAGGAAATAAGCCCCTCAGGCTGCAGTGCTTCATTCATGTGCCTTCATCCCAGCTCATCCCCGCCACCCCAGCATCATGGAAATATTACTACTCAAATGGGAAAACTGAGGCTCCACAAGGTTAAATAGCTGGCCAAGGGCACACAGCTTGTAGAGGACAGAGTAGATGCCCCACTTGGGCAGCTGGGCTGCAGCGGCTGCTGTCCAGGCCTCCCATCCTTCTGAGCAGACTTGCTAATGGAGAGTGGGGGGTGCTGGCTGCTTGGGGCTGGGGAGGACCAGTGCACCGCTCACCCCTGGGGACCCCGCAGCCAGCTGCAGGGACTCTCTAGCTGAGCCCCCGTGACCACCAGGGGGCCTTCTGCAGATGAGGAGCTTGGTTCCCAGCACTGGCCTGTGTGCGAAGATGGCCCTGGGAGCAAAGCGGGACACCAGTGACAGCACCTCTCCCCTCTCACTCCCCTTGGCCAGCTGCCTCATGGTCACCACGCCAAGCACAAGAAGGGAAGAAGGGGTGAGTAGCCTCTCTCCCCCCAACCCTTCCACATAGTGGATTCTAACTTTCTCTCTCTCACCCTGTCTCTCTCTCTGTCTCTCTCATACACCCTCATGAATAGTTTCTATAACAGACACCAGATAATTGTCATCCTACATGATTATATTCTTTCCGGTTGGTAAGAAACAGCACTGATTTCATCATCATCTCCATCTTTCCAGCTGCAGTAAAATGGTACTTGCAGCATTCTTTACTACCTCCAAGTATCTCCTGATACTGCTAAGCAAAGATGAGAGATGTCTATGTGATAAGCAACCTTGCAACCATCTGTCTCTAACATAAGGTAACACATGGTCACGGCAGTTACTCCAAAGTGCCTCCATCTCCTGTTGAGATGAAACCATTCAGTCATGTGGTAGATTCAGATAGATGTAAAACGTGACAACAGATAATGTCCTGAGACCCTCAGAAAGAGTAACCTAACAGCAGTCAGGGTTCAGAGCCCTGGCTGGTGCCAGAACATTTAAAAGCTTTTGCAATGGGCTAACCTGCAGCCAAGCTTGAGAACCAGAGATCTAGACGATTAGAGAAATCAGGCTTAGGAACAATGATTAAAGGGCAGGGTCTAGTTATTTCAGAGGAAGGATGATGACAACTGCTCCTTGGTGGGTGTTCCATCGACTGTCTAGAATCTGTGCTAACTGAAGGGAGGACTGTCATGAACAACTGGCAAATCTTACATTTGAAAGTTCTTTTATAGTTTGCAAAGCATTTGATCTTATTTTAACCTTGCCACAATTCTGGGAAGCAGACAGGACAACATGCTTAGATGAGAAACCAGAGCCTCAGAGAGCTGAGGGATTTGCAAAGATATAAATGGGAGAATCACTTTGGGAGAACCATCATCCAGAGAGTTTCCAGCAGCCCAAAAATACCAACGATTTCATTTGCACTATTAAATGCATTTGTCCTCCCTGAGGCAGAGCAAAATCTGTTCATGGGTAAAGGTAGGAAATCTTTTTAAAAGAAGATGAAGTGACAAAGAGAAAACCAACCAAAATGAAAAGGTCCTCAGAAAGCAGATTCACAAGGAGCTGTCTTCCTACTAGGGACAAAGAGCAGTGGTTATTGTTTTATTTTTTCCTGTGTATATAGGTCAGAAGATTGATATGGCAACAGAAGGTTAGATAATTGAAGGAACTTTCCAGTTTTCTCATCCATAAGACCATCAACTGGAGCTAGGCGCACGTAGGATCTATAATCCTGAGAACCCTCCCTGAGAACCCTGGCTTCTATTCCAGGCGGGCCACTTGCCTGTAACCTGAGACAAAATGTAGCGCTCTTCCTCTCAGGGTCACAGACGAATAAGATAAGGTGGGTAAACAGTAAAAGTAACCCGTTCAAAGGTTAGTAGTAGTAGTAGTGTCAGTCGCTCAGTCGTGTCTGACTCTTTGCGACCCCATGGACTGTAGCCCACCAGGCTCCTCCGTCCATGGGATTCTCCAGGCAAGAATACTGGATGGGTTTCCATTCCCTTCTCCAGGGGATCTTCCCACCCCAGGGATGGAACCTGGGTCTCCTGCGTTGCAGGCAGATTCTTTACTGTCTGAGCTACAGGAAAGCCCTGGGTTAACCTTTATTCAAAGGTTAATAAGGAATTTTCTTGTTGAAGAAGCCATTTCTATCCATAACAATGTTGTTGGACTGGCTCATTTGGGTAAAAGATGTATTTCTCACATCCATGAAGCCACACTTTGGAGCAGCTTCTTTGCTTACTGGCTTGATTTCTTTTCTACCCAGGAAAGGCTGACCTCAATCCATGCTGCCCTGTGTTCCGCATCCTAGATAGTTAGTGAGAGCCTCGCAGAGGCCCCCAGGCTCCCCACCAGCAAGCAGGGGCTGAAAGCAGTTCTAAGCTGTTAGCCTCAGGATTCTGGCTACATGGAGAGGAATGGCTTGTTCCTGGAGTGGAATCCTTCCCGCACCAAATGTTAGCTGGGAGGGGAGACTGGGCTGGAGGACTTCCAACTGCTGGGCTCTGGGAATGCTGCATTTGTTCCAGCAAGGGAACTGGAACTGGAATGCAACACAATCAGATGTGCTAGAGAACACTCCCCAACTTTGGTCAGCTCGTGAATGCCTTTCTTTGTTTAAAAAAAAAAAAAAAACCCTTGGACATTTTTAGAAACTTTAAAAAATAATAGCTATTTCTGCCTTGATTATGGTAAAGTCATGATCTTTAGTCATTGTTTTTAGATTAGCATCTTACTAAATATAATAAGGCTAACTTAATATGATATGTAATAATATTCATAAGGAAACAGATGCCAGTTTCTCTATTTAACAAATGATGCAAGGTGTTAAACTGATTTTAAATAACTGTCTAAAAATGATTTGTCATTTAGGTTGAATGAATTTTCAAATAACATATTGTGTTTTGTTAGAGAACCACATGAATATAAGACAGACTGACAATATTTAGCTATACAAGAATTTATTAAATAAATATACAAATAGTTCTTCATCCTGAGGAAAAAAATGACAGACTGAATTTCACTATGTGTTGATGGCATCAAAAGATAGTTTTTTCATTACCTACTATTAGAATTCTTGAGATTTCCCTCGAGTTATTTTAACAAATTTTAGTGTTTTGTTTCTAAATGGCAAGAAAAGAGGATAAGGCTTACAGTTGCTGTTTGCATGAATGTCTAAAAAAATAAGATACATAAATGTGAAGAGTATTTTCACCAAATGAAAAGTCAAATTACTTTTGACAAATTACTGTCATTATTATTTTTGATGTTATTTTTCAATATATTAGAAAATCTTGGTTGCTCTGGAAGAACTTTAATCAGAAGAATAAAACAGGATCTGAGTAAAGAGCATCCTTAGGCTAATTTGCAGAATTGTTATCATTTATGTGCCATCATTAACTTACCACACACTAACACTCATGTTTCATAAGCACTCTTTTTAACCAACACTTTATTGTGGAATTAAATAAATACTATTTGACCAAGAATAAAACAAACTACTTGATTAGATCCTCATTCAAAGAAATAAACTGCAAAGATCATTGGTTGGGAAAAGCTAGGGAAATTTCAATGTGGTTTGGGCATTATATAATCCTAAAGAATTACTGTTAATTTGGGGAGGAGTGATAGTATTCTACTGTAGTTACACAGGAAATTTTTCTTATTCCTTTGCAGTGCATCCTTAAGTATTCAGGGGTAAAATATGATGTCTAGGATTTATTTTAAAATACTTCACCAAAAAGTAGAAAAGCAAACATGGCAACATGTTCTTAACTTTTAAACCTTGGAGACGGGCACATGGAAACTCCTTACACTCTCCTCTCTGCATTTCCGTATCTGAAAATGTTCATAAGGCGAAACAAGTGAAAAACAGAAACACAAGGCAAAAGAAAATGTTATCAGGAAGTGGTTCCCACACCCACTGACTCCTTCTAGTGGCCAGGGGTGTTGGGCTGAGTGCAAAGACTACCCAGTGGAGCAGATTCAACCCATCTCCTCCTCCAGACACCACACTCACAAGGAGATTCTCAAACTATTTTGTTCTTTCATTTGTCACTGGGTTTATAAAACCAGAAATTTAGGTCTCATTACTCCATTTAATGGCCTGAATCCAGAGGAGTAACTTATGGGTCTGAGTGCCACCAGCTGGGACTTCCTCCAGTAGGTATCTGGGGTCGGAAGCTGGTGGGGGTCAGTCTGTGTTGATTGAGGTGGGCAGGAAGGGTTTTCGTGAGAGGCCAAAATATGTTTATACCAGTTGTTCTTGTTGTTATGATTAAAGTACACACAAACAATAAAACTTAAGTGCAGAACTCCCATCAAACAACCCACACTTGTCACCAAAAAAGTGAACACAGCTTCCAGTCTACATTAAAAGTTTAGCAATTGAATGAACATCTTTACATCTTAGAATTTGTAAGATATTTAAGGTGTGTATGTTTATTTAAGTGATTCTCAACTTTCACCAATCAATTAACTCTTTCATACTATTAGCATTGGATGAGAGGTTTTCCACCATCCTATAATTCTCTTGTTCAGATCTGAGTGAAAATATCCAAAACCAGGTCATAAAAAGAATTTTTTCCCCACTAAATTTGGTCAGGGAATATGCAGATTTCCCCCTGCTGTTGAATTGTCTCCTCCTGGCATTTTATTTAGACCTGGGCTTCCCAGTTGGCACTAGTGGTAAAGAACCTGGCTGCCATTGCAGGAGACATGAGAGACTCAGGTTCAATCCCTGGGTCAGGCAGATGCCCTGGAGAAGTGCATGGCAACCCACTCCAGTACTCTTGCCTGGAGAATCCCATGGTCAGAGGAGCCTGGCAGGCTACAGTCCATAAGGTGGCAAAGAGTCGGACACGATTGCAGTGACTTAGTGCACAAAATATTAAGACCCACTTGCCTTTTCTGAGCACACACTGATAATTGGGGCCAGACAGTTTCCCCACCCATCCCCCACCCACCCAACTTCAGCCCAGAGTGTGTGGGGAGGCTGCCTGGACTTCCACATCTGCCACTGTTGATCCATGCACTGGATAATCACATGCCCATCACCAAGATCTAACTGGGTTAGAAATGGAAGGACAGTGAAGCCAGTGGGGAGGTTCTAGAATATTTCACTTGGGTACCTTGAGGTCAGTTACAGGTCTGGACATCACTTCTCTGAAGAAAGTCAAAGAGCAGGCACAACCAGGTAGAGAAGGGACCCTGGAGTCAAACACCTGGCTTTCTGGAGCAGCAAGTCAGAAGGCCTTGAAGCTTAGCTTCTGGAAGTTTTTGCTGGGGACTGGCCCCTCCCACATGATGACACCGTGGGGTGGGGTGATAGCAACCCAGCTTCGCCCCCAGCTACTTCAGACCCCCACACCAGTGCCAAGGTAAGAGATGGGTCAGACCACGGGCAGGTGGAGATCAGCCCTTGGGCTTGTCCCATCACAGTCCAGGACTCA